AATTAGCCACATGCCATACTGTGTAAGCTCGCCGCAGGTGTTACTGTGACGTCCTCTCAGAGTCTGGAATTACTATTAAAGGTGAAAGCTCCTAAAATGGAATTGAAATATCTCTAAAGGAACCTAACTGAAGAGTGACCTGCCGTAGGGGTTGTGATTAAAACACAATATGGGGGGGACATTTAAAGAAGCCCTCCTCCGCACAGGGCTGGAACTCCAACTTTCCCTGTGAGCCGGCATCCTCCTGAAGCCCTGACTTGCCACGGCCTGAGAGTCAGGCCAGCCTTGGCAGGGAGAGCACCAACTGCCATCTGGTGGACACTCTGTGACACCGCTGTGGCTTCGGCCACTCCCGACCTGGCACAGATGGGGCCAGGCGGATGGCCAGCCTCTTCCACGGCGAACGCACGGGCTGCCACGCTCACCAGTGACAGGCGAGCACGGAAGGGCTCTGAGCAGTAGTGTCCGGGCCAGGGTGGCACCACCAGTCAGGGGCAAAGCCAGGTCTTCCCTCCCCTAGGAATGGACAGAGGAGCTTATCACGTGCAGTACCCAGGCCAAGCAAAATGTGAAACTATCGAGGCAAAACTATGGAGGCGGGGCACGACAAGCCTGGGTTTAAACCTGTTGAGGGTACCGCACAGTATATGCAGGGTGCTTTACTTCTGCACTGGCCTCTAAAAGGATCCTGTGAGAACAAAACATGCCACTTGGAAACGGGTTCAACTTCACTCTTACCAGTCGTGGGGTTCAAATGATTTTGCCAGTGGAAACGAGCAGTCTTACTTAGAAATTAACCTCCTTCTGATCCTATTGAAGACAGAACTTGGAAAGCAGTGTGAGGGATCATTGGAAGGCTGTCTTAAAACAACAGAGTTGCACTCACTTACCTGTGCTAACATACATCACAAAAGTGTATGACTGAAATGAACGCACTTTCCACTTGTCCAAGTTTCTCTCCACCAGTTTCTCTGAACACTTCTGCCCTCTGCTGGAAGGAGACGGGTGAGCCCCCTCCCCCTCCCCCCCCCAGAATTCAGTGTTTACTCCCATGTCCTTAAGCAAAACTTTTCATGACTTGAGTTCTGAGTAATATCTCAGAAATTCATTGGTTCTTTGCCACGCCATTCCCTTAATCCTTTTTTATATTACAAGGATCTCTGAAGATTCCAGTCGATTCGCGTAGATCCCAAGTGGGAGGGCATTTCGTCAATATGAAGACTGGTTATGTTAAAGTAATACGGCTGATGGATTCTTGTTTTCCTTGGAGGCAGCTTCAGGAAGAACCGAGAGCTGTTTGCAGGTGTGACACAGCCAGGGAACGGCTCCCACGCGACTCCCCACAAGACCAGGTAGCAGAGGGGCAGGGGCGGGCTGGGGCGCGGCCCGAGCCCCACAAGAGCATCCACACCCACACATCCCGATGGAGCTGGGGCCATTCTGGACTCCCTCCTGCGTTAGGCCCCCTCTGTAGTTTGCCTTGCCCTGGGGATTGAAACGCTACATCTTCCCCCCAGGTCTGGGGCTCCCCTGGGGCAGCCGATCTCTCCGCAGTTTCCTGTTCTTTTTTTTTTTTTT